AGATTTATATTTTACTTTTGCCCGTTTGACTTTTTTTTAATGTCATGTATTAATTTTTCAGATATAATAACTAATTACTTAATGAACATGTTGTATGTTATTAATTATCATGTGGCAAACAAAGTAAACTAGGTCTAAAATTATAAACAGTTTTCTTATTAAATCTCCAACTAGGAAGCTGTGTAGAAAGGAAGGGAGGGAAATCCTTCAAATATAATCGAGATAAACAATATGTGTTCATCATTATCATCATTTTAATTCATGTCACCTTCGATCGTAATTTCATGTACAACTGCCTGTAATTCCACACACTCTTTTCATTATGAATCAGTATATGTCTACATAGTTAAATTCTGGGGCCATAATTATCTGGATGACTTCAACTCTTCCCCATTACATAAAGCGGCCCTTACCCACCCCACTCCACCCTTATTTTCTCATCAAAGTTATGTGTTCCCATGATGGACTCATGAAAATATCGTTACTTGCGATGCTCACAGGAATTAAAAGTCAAATCCTCAAACTTAATTCTACTTCTTGATGCATTTAAAAGATCACCTTAGCAGCCTAATAATAGAAATTAAATTAAAGTATTCACCTAGAAAGAAAATAAGAGACAGTGTGATATGCAAACAATACAACTTACTGGTGTCATTAACGGAAATACTTTTATGAAATGCACAAATGACTCGTTTTTTAATGCCTGAAATATCTGTATTCTGGCATATTTTTAAAATAGAAAGATAAAATAATGTGTTCAGATTCTGCTACCAGTGAACCAGAAAATAAGATAGTATTTCTAATTCATCTTGTGCATTATTTTTGTGAATGACTAAAGCTTTTGAAAATTAAAATGCTTAATAAGCAAAGATTCATTTTTGTGGTTTTTTTAATGACTAGATATTTAGTTTTTATTTACATTTTTAACTAGAAGCTTAAGTTTATTCATTTTAAATATCTCTATCTATCTATCTATCTAGAGAGAGATATGAGTTGCAGTCCTATCTATCTATCTATCTATCTATCTATCTAGAGATATGAGTTGCAGTAAATTATTTGTATTTGTATTTTTAAACTACTTCTTGTTTTGAAATGATGTTGACCTTAGCAATAAAACAAGACATTATCTTTAAGTTCATTTCAGTTTTAAATAAGTTTGTGTCTATGTGAAGAGAGGGGGTGAGAGAGAGAGACAGACAGACAGACAAATTGATTTTAAGGGAGGCACGAAAAATGGGAAAACAGTGAAGTAGAAGTGAAGAGAACTGTAGTTTGAAATATCCACTTTAAGATTTCACTTTTCCCCAAATCCGATGTAGAAACAAGTTGAAGAAGACTGTGTAGACACTGTTGAGAATATCTTCATTCATTTTAGTTTCACAGAAACCTCTGTGTTCCTACTTAAAAATCCCAGACCCCAACTATTTGGAATGGCCTGCTTTATTCAACTCTATTGTAGTTACTATTTATCTTCTAAGGCTTTCACAGTTAATATTTCTTTTAAGATTTGTAAGGTGATGAGCATTTGTTAGGTAGTTCTACCTGCTTATAGCACTTAGTCACAGAAGAGACTCACTCAGAGGCTGTGGTTCAGAAGTCCCCTTTTTAAGTGTTCTTAGCTTTATTCACTGAGTCCCAATGGATCCTTTAGGCTGGAAAACTTTGCAAATACAGTGATTCAACAACTCAAATGACGCCTTGCACTGCCGCCGCCTCCCTTCTCCACCGTGCCCATCCTAGCTCAGGCACGGGACGCCATGCAGAAGCACTGAAAGCCTGCTGCTAATTGCTCTCTTTGCCTCCCCCACTCCCCCCATCCCCATGCCTTCCCGTGCTCTCCGCTGGCAGGTCAGGCCACATCTGATCTTTTCTCAAAGAAACCCGATGCTTGTGGGACAGCACTCAAATTTCTATCATTCAAAGTATTTCACATCGCTCTTCCCATCTCCTCTTCACTAGACTCTGATTCTTTTCTCCATTCAGAATAAACAGATTTACTTGATGGACATACAAATATGCTCATTACGGGCTTAGCACTGCCACTTAGCTCAGCATCCCCTTGTCCGGCCTGTCCCTTCCCTACTCACTTCTTTTCAACCTCTTTGCCTGCTAACATTCCATTAAAGCTAATGTCGAATGTCAGCTCGTTCACACACCCATACTTGATCAGACCAACAAGGAAGAGCTCCTCTTTGCGTAACCTTCTGCTCCTTCAGCACTTAAAAGCTGGCATTCTCTTAAACCTTTTCTTCTTCTTAGATACTAAGCTCCTGAACAGCGACCGTGGTTTATTCTTCTCTACATACATTGAAGTATCATGCCTTTCACACAGTAGGGGCTCAATTCAGTGCCGATAGAATGAATAATCAATGAAAACGCAAACAAGCTTATTTACCTAGCTGAAAATTTTTACAGGAGATTCTGGTTTCATTTGGAAGAAACTCAGTCCGATGACTAAAGTATCTTGCCTTTGCCTCTCTAAATATATATGAATTTATATATGCAAGTTCCATGCTAGCATATTTTTAGATTTTTTAAATTAACTTTATTGGGATGACATTGGTTAATAAAATTATATAGGTTTCAATTGCACAATTCATGAATACGTCACATGTATACTGCATTGTGTGGTCACCACCCAAAGTCAAATCTCCTTCCGCCATCGTATATTTGACCCCCTTTACCTTTATCTACCTCCCCTTTCTCTCTCTTCCCCTCTGGTCACCACTAATCTGTGTCTGTGTCTATGTGTTTTTGTTTCTCGTCATATTTTAAGTACGTAAAAAAGATTTCTTTACATTAGTGTTTTTCTCAGAGAAGATAGAGATCATTCAAGACTAGATTTTTCACTTCTTTTCAGGATCTTTTCAAAGGGAAATGGTACTCTGAGCAATAAAGATGACATAGCTATCTGTTTGGGTTTTTTTCCTACCAACCAGGCTAAGGGAAATCTTACTTCATGTTGGCTGAATCACTGACATGAGTTTTAAAGATAAAATAATTTGAAAATTTGAGAATGCAAAGCTGTCCATATTTTTAACACCGAGTATATAATGTGATTAATCATTCACTTAAAATTCAGCAGAACCTTGGTAACCTAAAGGTCAGAAAACATGACGAATGTCCACATTCTAAGATGGCAGTGTTTATATCATACTTTAAAGATGTGAGAGAACATGATGTAACTCATGGTTTATAGGGGTCATCTTTTAATTTTACCTTTCTCCTTTTCATTCACTCTTTCAACACATTAATTAAATGCCTATGAAAATCCTGGCACTATACTAGCACAGAAATACATGGTGAGCTCAAAAAAGACAGTCTTTGTATGAATTTTACTTATGTAGTCCTTTCTACACAAAATTGAATAGTTTTAAAATGGAAGACTTTGGCTTTCTCTAAAACTAGCTCTTCTGCTTGAGTTTGTAATTTTTGTTCATAGCATCATTTTTCTCCCTTGGTTTGAAGCCACAGAATCACCAAGGCTCACAATATTTGTCACATAAACTATTGCAACATTCTTCAATTATATGTACTAACTCAGGTCTTTTTTATACTTTAAGGCATTGCACAAATGGTTAGATTCATCTTCATCAAGTTTATTACTTACCTAATTAAGGACTAATGACTCAAACTGCCATTGAGGCATTATGTAAAATTGCCCCAACCTACTTGCTTCATCTTAACATGCCATATTTTTTCATGACCGTACTCAATTTCACTCAAACTCAGTTATTTATTATCCCCAACGGAACACCCATTTCCTCTTCTGTATATTTACTCAAGACGTCCCTCCCTAGCATCAACTGTTGGTTCTTATACAACAGAGCAATTGTGACGGCCTTCAAGGAACATCTTACACGATAATTTCTCTAGAAATTCTTAAAGAATTATCGCAGATGCTTGAGTTCCACTACCCCTGGAAACCCATATTTCGTCATTTGTATTTTTTAAGAAACTCCCCACAGTCCACTAGGCTTTATATTCCTAAGGCAAAGGGAGCTTTATTTACCTTGCTCACAGTAAATGCCCAACAAACTTTCATTTAATCATTGATATTTCTGATTATATATCTCTTTCTGAATTCCATATATCTCCTAAGTTTTATATTAAATTATGGCAAGAGTGATCAACATGGTTTCCATATCATCCGAAAGACCAGGTGAGTGAAAGGGATTCTGGCCTATGGCGCTTTAAGCGTGGGCACTCTGCAGCCTTTTTAAAATCACATCTGTGGATTTCTTTTAACTGACTTCTTTACTCACTCGTCCATTTTTATGTTTTCCTCTCATTCTTCTACTCTCTCTACATGCATTGCAGGCCCACGGGGCTATTCTCTGGCATTTTGCTTGTCTTTGTCAGTAGTATACAAGTATTAAAACATTTCTGACTTCTGGGATATACTATGAAGATTGGTAATTGCCTTTCCGGGATAATGCTAATCACTAAACTAACCTCCAAAGTTGGCGGAGAAAAATAAAATGAAAAGGATTCAAACTGAATGTCGGTGTTTTTTTTTAAAACTCTCAAATGAGTGGTCACAGTCAACACAGGTGGCATTAAAGGAAAAAGCAAATATCGAAAGCTCATGTACATGCATGAGGTCATGTACGTGTGTGTATATATCTATCAACAATATACACGAAGAGGAAACAAAAATACCTCTCAAGCATCTTTTCCTTCTAGCTGTAGTTCTGGTCATGCAGTCTTACCGTGCTACCGAAAATGAATGAAAACTTAGCAGGAAAGCAGAGGCGCTGAAGCTAAGCCGAAAATTAATGTAAAACTATACTTTTTTTTTTTTTTTTGCCGAAAAGTTCTTCCAATAGCTATACCACTCTTTCTTATGTTTTATTTATGCCCACGACTTTGTGATAGAAGACAATGGTTTTCAATTGTTTTCCCAATAAATGTCCCTCTTGAAATATGGGGTAAATTAAAATTAATAACTGTAGCGAAACTGTAGATTATTTAGGGTGAATGGGTAGAAAATGACTTACCCCCTGTTGCCACAGTGATTTCACGTAGAAAATGGCCGTAAAATGGAAAATCGAAGGACAGATTCACTCTCTGCAAGGAACAACAACCAGAAAAGAAAATCAATAATGTGCATAATAGTAAATGTAATATGAAAGGCTCTCCACTTAAAAAAAATAAAAAGAGATGCTTCTACTTTACACCACCATTATTGTAGTTGACTTTTAAAACCTGAATCTTGGATGATGATAAAAGATATTTTTTTTCTGGTAATTAAATGTTTGAAGTTTGTGAAAAGAATCAAGTTGGGCTGTTACAGTCTGTTGTTTTGATCTTCACGCACGAAGGGAATCTGGAAGTTTCCACACTGAATCAACCTATTCTCTCTAACGTCACCATTGCCTTTTAAATGTTCACTGAGAATCAGGTCAGTCGCCATGATGAGCACTTTATTGGGGGTTCTTTTTAGTTCGATTAGTCTTCCCCAAAACAGAGGGCATGTTATCTGTCGAGTTTTACTGCACAAAAATGAAAAGATTTTCTTTGACATGATTATGTATTCAAATTATTTTCTGTACATCTTATAATGAAAGGCAGTTTCATTGGAACAAGATATCTTGCACCTACAGATCTAGACCTGCAAATATTTTTATTTTTTAGATGTAAAGAGCTCTCTAGATTCAGTATGTTATGTTCACTTTCCAAGCACAGTCAACAAATAAAAAATGCTGGTCACTTATCCTTCGTATAGAGAAAACTTGGGGAGACTTAGGAAGAAAGTTCATAAACTTTGCCTCTTTTTTCTGAAAAGGGGCCTGAAGCTTGGATTATAGATATAATTGATTATTATATATTATATATATTATTATATGCTTTATGTAATTATATATTATATATAGCAGAATAACAAAATAAAATAAAACAAAGCAAAACAAACAAAAAAAATCTGTATTTTTTGTATTGAAATAATTTAAACCAGATGTATTATTAGACAAGAAACAAGAAAAATAATGAGTTATAACAAAGGTGATCCACTGAAATAAAAGAATCCAGAGGGAAATTAATTAGTTGGTTTAGAGCCCAACAGCATTATAAACTATGTATAGTAAAATGCTATTGTGTTAAAATTCAACAATTTCTATATTATATTTCTCCCAATGCACAAATTAAAATAAATAGAAGTATATCTAGATTGAATTTAGCTCCTTCCAATTTTGTAAATGATTACTTTTTTATATCCATCAGAGATTTCTAATAACGTATTTGGCATGAAATTAATCATTCAGAATTTCCAGTGACTTTCAATTAGATTTTCTTCCCTTTTAATGAAAGCTGCATCTCAGAACAAGGTTATCATCATTTTTATTTTTTGCTGACTAATGGGACAACAAAACCCGTTTTCATGGCACTAACTAAAATGAGTGGTTACTAATAACCCTACAATAAAAGCTTCAATGGCAACATCATATATCTCAAAGATGTCAAAAATAATTTTATAAAGGCACCTGTCGAGTATGTTGTTCTCCATCATTGTAATTTATTTCCATGCTCATGAGTAAATTTACAACCTTTTAGCATCCTTGCTTCCAGCCCTAGCATCACCGCCTCAGCTCCACCTCGATCATCAGGAGTTAGATTCTCTTAGGAGCACCGGTCCCTGATGCTGAAAAAGTTGGGGACTGCTGAACTACCCGACCAGGCAAGGGAAGAATAAGGACCTGGAGAGGACACCAAACTCAGAGGATATGGCCCTGAGACTGACTCTTTAAAAGGAACTACAGACATTAGCCAGGGAAGACGTGAGCGAACGGGAGCGGAAGGGAAAGGGTCGAAATATATGTAGAAAGTGAAATTGAAAGGACTCTGTGATTAACTGGACATAAGGGCTGGGAGTGAGGGAGGGCAGTCTAGAATACGAGACGAGTTTCTAGCGGCGTGGCTGGTAGACCACAGTTCCACTCGCTGAGATGATGAATACGGGAAGAAGGTTTATTTCGGTTAGGTGTGAGAGACTTGTTGCGTCAGTCATCAGTTAGGCTTCCTTTATCTACATAATAAAATAAAAATGACCCCACACTGTATATGCTGCAAAGGACTCTTCTACAACCAGAAAGGCTAAAGCAATCTTTGACATGGTCACAAAAAGCCACTGTAAATAAAAGCAAACATAATATTGAGGCTATGGTGTAATTACCATACCTTGAACATTACCCTATCTTGGATCTTATCCCTTAAGAAATATCTAATGTAAAAAAAGAAAAGGGTTCAGGAAAATTGTCATATGAAGACATAATAAATTAATTAAGAGTCTGGGCAAAATACCAAATAAAAGTTCAGAAGTGAAATTTTAAAGAGCATGAGTGACATAAATAATATAACTGAATTTACTACTTCCTTATACTCCGTGGACAGGAATTAACTATTTGAAGGGAGAGGTATGATAATTTTGAGACAAAGGGAGTATCACTTCTTCATGTGGATGAGGATAAAATTACGAAACATTCTTTGAAGAGTTTGTAGAAGTATATTCATAGGTCCCAGGTGGCCTGGTGTAAATGTATGACAGGTAGAGCCAATATATGACTGTAACCTTTAAAACCACATTACACTCTCCCCATGAAATTATGAAATTATGCCCCATGAAATTATAATCCATAACATGGAGACATTTGGTCCACACCAAAAGGTCCTTGATAATCGGTCCTGTCAAATACATCCAAACTTAGAAAATGTCCCTGGGTTCAAACAGCCCATAACACTTATGCATACTTTGGGTTTAAGGAACTAATACATAAAAAAATGCCCTCATGTTTTATTGATCCAAAAATTGTGCTGTGGCTGTAATGGCAATAACAACTCTTCTTGCATCGGCAGCATAGCTGGTAATGGCACATGGGATCAGGAAGATGGGCTGGCGTGGACCAGATATCTCCACGGACTTTCCGGACAGGACCAAATATCGAGGACCTTTTGATGTGGACCAAATGTCCTACAAGGGAAATGACTGTGGGGACAGACGATCGGACTCAACTAGGGTTGTACTCCTAGATTTCTACGTGCACCCATATCTCTTATTGCCCCTTTTACGTATTTTTCTTATGTCTATTGCTATTTGTTTTCCGACTAATTATTGTGATCTCTTCTAATTCTTTTCTAATTACACAAGAATTATAATCCTAAATACACACTATTCCAGTTTAACTTGTTTGTCTATTTCTCAGTGGCATTACAAAGATAAATTAATTAGTCAATGCCTGTAACACCTTGAAAACAAAAACTGCTTAATAAGAGTTAAGAATCTGGAGTGGGCAATTTTATAACCCTCAAAACTATTTTTTAAAAACATCATTAAATTTTTTAAAAAATCGTTAATGAAAACTGTTTTTGTTTTAAGACAGCTTCCTATTTGCAGTAATAAAGATACATGTTTCTGGTTTTCCCAAGTCTTTATTTCATCTTTATGCCTTCCGCATAATCCTGATGAAAGCAGGTGCAGGAAGAAAACTGGTAGTAACTAAACTTTTAATAATTTCTGTTATCATGATGGCAAAGGGTCTAAAAAATATAGGGAGTATCCATTTATTCAAGAGTGTATTCATGTACTAATCATGAATTTCTAAACATATATTTAACATCCTATTTTTAATTATTCAGATAATTTCATGTTTACTTTGAAGCATTCAAATATATGGGATATTATTATTAGTAGTAATAGTAGTAAAATGAGATTTGTGTTACGTCTTTAAAAAAGTAGATCAAATAAATCTTAAATCAAATCACTTTCAGTTTATTTATTTATGCCAGGAATTAACTTTGACAACAGCAATTGTAAAATTTGAGAAAAATTACATTTTGTTTTACTTAAATGGATATTTCTAGTGATACTGGCTTTCATCCGAAATACCTAAATAAGTGATCTTATTTCCAGTAAGGTTTATATATTTAATAAATAAAAATGATTAAATGATCATTTTTATTAGGTTACTTTTACAGATAACTAAATAAATTTAATTTCTTAATTGGTATATAGAATATTCTTCCAGAATGCACATAACAATTGACTAACATTCTTGAAACTGAGTAAGATCCAAATAAAACACATTCATTTATAAGTGCTTAGAATGTATTATTGCAGTCTTACTACTTAGCTAAGACACATGTTCTACCATCCTTTTTTTTTTAGGCGAAGCAACCCCTGGTTGACCTCACAGATTGCAAGGACCTTGTCAGCTTACAATCCCTTATTTATTTTTTACGCCTACAGCACCTGGGCTTCTTAGGTGGTCTCCCATCCAAGTACTAACCAGGCCTGACCCTGCTTAGCTTCCAAGATCAGACAGTATCGGGCTTGTTCGGGGTAGCATGGCTGTAGACCCATCTTCTCTTAATGGAACTAGATGGAGAATTATTTTTAAAATTTCTGTGCTTCTTTCTTAATTTTTGAATAATACGGCACGGTTTTGGAGTCAGAGAGACTTGAAATTACATCCCAGCTTTGGTACTTAGAAGCTGTGTGATCATATAAATCATTTAACCTCTTCAAGTCACAGTTTGCTCATCTGTAAAGTCGAGATACTTCTTTAAAGGTTATTCTAAGGAACAAATGATCAAATAACATGTGCACCTTCATAAATACTGAGTCAATGATGGTTAGTTAACATTATATCATGTACATGAAGATGTTTAACACAGCAATAGTTCCTTAAAACTAGATTCCTAAACAAAATAACTTCTGATTCCTAACAAATAGCCAGAAATGATTTGATATATGTTGTCTCGATACCAATGTAGGCAAATTACTTCTCTAATGGAATCATATCACAATTAGATATTATGTTTCTGAGCAATGTTATAATGGCCTCATTTTTGTAATATTTAAATAATTATAAGTACTGTGTTTAGTAGTGTTAGGAGAATTGAGTTAGCATTTAATATACCAGGTATTATGCTAAGTATTTTCCCTATATTTAGCAAGTATGAATGCTAAAACTAGGTGAAAGTATGATGAGAAACAGGATATTTGCATAGTCACAACATACCTTACAAAAAATACTTGATAATTACAAAAGGAAAAATAGTAACTTTACAGTGAA